TGTTCTTGTTTTCTTGCTTCCGCATTTATTTTTCTAGTGGTGTGATTTTGGTTTATGTGATTTTTATTCTTTGTGAAAAGAAATTTTTAAAATACCAATTCACCCCCCCTCTTGGTTAGCTTGGGACTAAGTTCATAGGGCTTAACATCCCTAATGAACTTTCAAAGAAATCATATCCGCAAACCTTTATTGATGAAGACAAGGTTAATAAGAAGGATTCGGTTTTTCTTGACAATATTCCTGAGTAAGATATAGAGAAACTTGATGCCTTATCTGATAAGATTATATCATATTTGGGTATAAATAACAAGTTTAATGTGTTATCTTGTGAGGAATATGGTAATGAAGATGTTGAAAACTTAGTTAAAGTCAATAATGTTGAAGTTGTTGTCAATGAAGATTCTAATAAATGAGCTTTTAATCAAGATGAGATAACTGAATTTAAACCTGACGGAATTTCCGAAGTAGTTCATGTTGGTGTTTCAATTGAAGATGATATCAACTTGGTAAAAAGCTTGAAGGAAAATTGCTGGGGCAATATAGAGGAGGTGGTTGTTGCTGTTACAGTTGGGAAAACTGCTGAACCAGAAGAAACTTTCAATAATATTGAAAGTTTATGTTGAGTTGTTCTTGATATTGAACCGGAGAATGCTACTCCAACGTCTGATGTTAATTTAAATTTTAAAAAGGCAAAGATTTTGAAGGTTGGTAATAAGAATGGTAACTCTTCCAACTCTAAACATAAGTTGTTTAAAGAACTTCAATCTTTAGGTCCAATGGAAGATCTACCTAGAAGAAGAAATGCTGATTTCATATTTAAGAATGATAAGGGGGTATTTCCCCTTCAGCTCACTAACATGCTTTATCCAAAAGATTGGGGCTTTGATGAAGGCCATATAAAGATTCATGTCTATCTTTATATTGGTTTTAATCAAGGTGGATTTCATTTGGCGGTTTGTGGAAGTTCAGGATCTTATAAAATTAATAAGATCTTGTTTCTTCCGTTGGCAGCAGGGTTGATAATTCTATGGAGATCTTTGTTCTCGAAGGATACATCGTTGGATTGGTTCAAATTTGTTGATCATTGTAGAGGGATTATAGTGGGTGGGATACTTAGCATTATTGTTTTTTTATTTTATGTTTTATTTGCATAATGAGATTAAAGTGATTAAATTTAGGATATTTATTATTTCTTATTTTATTCCTATTAAGGATCACTGGGATACTAACGAACCCTTTAGGTTGTTTTATTTTTGGTTTCCCCATCACCTCATTGATTAAAATGAGGAGTAGTGGATCTTATCTTTGTCATGATATTCTACTTATTGCAAATATTTATCTTTTATTATTTTTTTTGCTTTTTAATAATTGTTACTTACCATTTGTTTGGTAAGGTAACATCTTTAGTTGTTCTTAATTTCAGGTTTTAATACGTTTTATTTTTCTATTTAATGCAATTTGCATTCTCTCAAAAAAAAAAAAAAAAAAAAAAAAAAAAAAAAAAAAAAGATTATGCTTAAGAAAAAAATTGGTTAAGACTAGGAATACAAAAAGAGAAAATAGAAAAAGAGATTACAATAAAAAAATAGATGATTATGAGTTTCGAAATCAGAATTACACAAAACACAAACAGGAGGAATATAAATATTACTATCAGAAAGAGTATCAACAGTTTTAAAAAAAATTGGCAAATGCCAGTCTGGAATTGGTCGGCTTGTTGAGAGCTCATATGTCAAATACGTATATCTTTAAACTTTTGGTGAGAATTTACCAAATGTTTTCAGTAACATAGTTTATAAACGTACAAAATATTAATTTAATTTTGCAGTGAGTTAATTTACTTTGTATATATTTCTTGGCCGTTGAATTCAGAAATAGGAGCTGCCGAGTGCTTAGACATGGCTGAATTTGAGGCGATGACTGCAAAAAAACAATAGGAATTACTTATAGATGAAGTTGTCTATAAACAAAATTAAAAGATAATTTTATTTTTTAACTCTTATTTAGACTGTTTTTGAGTCATCTTTCTTGCTGCTTTTTGAATCAAATTTTTAGTACACATTTTTTTAGTTTAAAACTTTTGTATACTAAATACAATTTTAAAAAAATATTAAGAAAACAACATCAAGCGAAGTCTTAATCTTACATTAGAACTATGATTGAACTAGCAGAACTTGCAACGATAGAGCTCCACCATATTGCATGTATTCATTCATCCATGGTTCATGCATCCTAGTTGTCGTTTCTTCCTCCAACCATGTTGCTTCCTTCCTCTTCCTCTCAGTTAAAAATATATTACATAGTCTATGTTTTTTCGCCATGTGTTTTCATAGAAACTGCTACAACTTTATCCATTTACACCACTTAGAATCATCAATAAATGAGGTAATAATTTATGGTCGTCAAACTATTCCAACCGATATCACAAATTAAATAAAGGCTTCAATTCAATAAAAAAAAAATTATTTTCATAGCATAAACTTTATCAACACAAATAGTTATATATGGCTTGCATTCAAGAATGAAATCAATACAATTAATCTCATAAGCTATTTTCCTTTAACTACTAAAATAATAAGCAACAATATAGGATAACTATATTAAATAATTGGCAACCATAAAGGATAACCATCTCTTTTATTAAATAAATTTTAGACAGCACATTTTTAAATTACATAATGCTGCAACAAATTAATTCCTTATAATCATTCATATATATCATTTCTTATTAGGCACATGCATTATAAACTTTTAAACTTATTTTTCAAATTTATCATTAAGAATAAAATTATCTTAAATATATAATTGTTTTAAAATTCTATCAACATACTCGTAGGTGCATTTAAACCAGTAAAGTCAAATTTCTTTCCCTTAAGCTCTTTTAATACCAAGATGTGATAGTTTTAGACATCAACTCTCAAATTATAGACTAATACATTGGTATGATTGATCTCAAAATAATATGAATATGGATTCGATGCACAGATTTACATATGTCGCTAAAATTTATCATTTAAAAAAAAAATCATATATTACCTAACATTTAAAGGTTAACTTGGGCAGACACTTCATTTTATTCGAACGAAAATTTTGGTCAAAATATAATGCCAAAAAGTTGTTTGTTTCTATTTGATAAATTTATAATTGAGCTACTTAGCCTAACTGCAAATTAATGAAGATTTTGTTTTGTATGGCCAAAATTGGAGTGTAACACCCATTATTATATTTTCTGAGAAAATAAACCTAAAAACTTCATTCATAAGAAAATATCTAAAAAAATCTCTGTTATTAATGACTACAGTCTTTGATGATTACTTGATCCATGATTGAACCACATTCTGACTATTTACCAAACATGCCAAAACATACATAATTCTCTAATTAGTCAATTTTAAATACTCAAAAAAATCCATAGACTTTATAGAAACACTAAACACAGTACATAATGGACTTCTAATTACTAAAGGTTCTCTTAAACTATGTGCATCCTTTGATTTTGATTGGGTTACTGATACATCAGATGGCTAATCCACAACCAATTAATGTGCATATCTATGTAACTCTAATTTCATGGTATGCATGAAATAATCAATTGCAGCCCAATCATCCACAAAAGATGATTATCATGCACTTGCCAGATCTACCACTGGCATTATTTGGCTATATCAGTTATTAATAGAGTTTGGTTTTAAGAAGACAAAACTGACAGCTTCATATTATGATCACATTTCATTTTTAGCACTTAAAATCATGTTTTTTATGAGCGTACATAGCATACTAAAGTTGATTATCATTCCATTTGAGAAGATATCAAATTGAAAAATATTATTGCTCATCGCATTGCTTCTTAGGATCAAATCACTGATATCTTCACCGACTTCCTAAATAGCTGCCTAGCTCTTAATTTTTTTTATCTTAGAGACAAGCTAACAATTCATTCCAGATCCACAACTTGCTACGAGGAATCAAAAGAATAAAAAGATCTACATCAACTCTCTTCGTACACCATTGCTGCGGTCCAAACTGTTAATATCTAACAAGATATTTAATCTTAGACTTCATTTAGGATGGCTTTCTTACTGCTTCTTAAAGCCGTATTTTAGTATACAAATTTTAATTTTTAAACTAGAAAGCTATTTTTAGAAGATGAAAAAAAATCATCCCAAACGAAACTTTAATCATTGATTTGTAACTACTGTGACAGTTGTAATGATAAGTTTTCCTAATTTGTATTTAACAATTTTTGTTGCAATACTAACAATAGAATGGTAATGCCATCTCTTCTTCTTCGTATCACCTTGTGTGTTTTGGCTTTGTCACGCGTTTATACTGTAGAGTGACTTTAATGATTTTTATATTCACATGGCAATAGCATAAAAACAATATGATACGGAATGATATAGCTGACACCACAGTTTCGCCAACATATCAACCTTAAATTCAATATTAATCAATTCATGAATAGAGATATTCTAGGTTTGCTAGATTCAACTGTTCTATCCGTCATGAATATGGTTTAACGCTGCTATTAAGGGTCACAAATGGTAACGCATATTGTTAGCGTCACTCACCAATGTGATGTCAAAGCTTACATTGATAAGCTCCCAAATTGCCTATTCCATTCCTCGTAAGTGCCGAGCTCATTAAATGAAACTGAAGGTCTCACTTCTTGCAAAGCGTTCTTAAAGTCCTAAAAAGAGGACAGTAAATGAAATATATTTGATTACTTAAACACTGAATGAAAAAATAAGATCAGTATGGCGATCTCTTCTTTAACTCATGGGAATAAATACCTGAAGGGTCACTGGTCTCATATCCTCCTTCTTGAGCTTTGTTAGCTCGATACCCAGCCTGAGGGCTTCTCTTAGTGGTCCCATGGATGCATCCTTGACAAGGTTCTTCATGTCTGATCCCGAATAGCCTGGATCCTCACAGTAGTTCATAAATTATGATTGTAAACATGGCAATAAAATTGGACGCCGAATTTAAAAAAGACAAATAGAACACCTTCAGTTAACTTGCAGATGGTGGCATTATCTTCATCTGAAAGCTGGAACAGCCCATCCTTATCGAGAAGATTACGTACAATACAGGCTCTAGCTTCTTCATCACCAGTAAGGAAAGTTTGAATTGATTTCAAAAGACCAACAGAAAACTGAACTAAAACTAACCTGAGGAAGGGAGAGGTATGTACAGCCGCTTTGTAAGTCTTCTCCGTGCAGCCTCATCGAGTTCCTGGGGTCTGTTGGTTGCACCTATAGTTTCTCCCAAAGGGTAGGTTTAGAGGTTCAGTAAGGACTCACCACCCAATAATAATCCCACATCAATCTGGAACTTTAAATGAACAATACTGATAAAAGTAGCCAAAAAAAAAAAAAAAAAAAAACTGTGGCTTAAAAAAAACTGTAGCTTAGAATCAAGTTCATTATTGCAAGAGAAAAATTGCTTCCAAAAGTAAATCTTGATCATCTTAGCTATGCTCAACAGTGTTCAACCTAACTTGATCAAAGGATCATAATCGATAGTTATATGTTGATTCGTCCAAAAGAACCATATAGAGGTATGATGGATATTTATCTAAGTGAATTAAATGTGGGCTCCGAAAATTCACACCCCGGTTTCCCCTATTCTTCCAGATGAGTTTTAACAGATTAAGTTCCAGGGTAAATTTTCAAAAGGTATATTGTTTTAAAATAAGACACTACCCAAAGATTCGCCCTCATTTTGCGAGGACTTTACATTTGAGTGCCAATTTCCTATAGGCGCAGACCCCTATATTTAATTACCCCTCCTGATAATGAGAGAGATCTTTCGATTAAAGCTAGTTGTCAATCAGATACGTAGGGATATTTTGTATCTTTCGATTTTCAACACGGCCATCATTGGGGTATTTATGGCATTCGGAGATTTCGTTTTGATGATTGAACCTTCTTGACTATGTCAACTTGCCGACAGAGGATCGAATTTTTCATAGGCTAAATGCCTTTATTGGTGAATTTTTCTTATTATAGGCCTTAAAGGCCTAATATGAACGTATGAAACCAAATATCTCGGTTGATGCCGCGATCGTATATTTGTTCATTGATTCAAGTCGTGTCGACACCCGTCTTATCAAGGAGAAGGATTTGAATTGAACTTAAGTTCATTTCATGATCCGCACAACATTCTCAGACGTTACGTTGTGGGCTCCGAAAATTGCGCCCCGGCCTCCCTGACTTTTAGGGGGTTTTAACAGATTAGGTTCAGGGGTAAGTTTGGGAAGGTAGATTGGGATTATAGATAAGACACTACCTAGAGACTTCGCCCTTTTTTTGCGAGGTCTTTATGATCTGAGTTCTTATTTTCTATAGGCGCAAGCCCCTATAGTTAATTATCCCTCTCGGTAACGAGAGAGAACTTTCGATTAAGGCCAATCGTCGATGAAATACATAGAAATACGTGTTATCTGGCATATAGTAGCAACATGGGTTTACGTATTGGAAGTTCGACTTTTGCATTAGAAGGGAGACATCGGCTATGGAGATTGAAGTTTCTTGTGACTTGAGGAGGTTGAATCGGGTAGAGGAGATATGGGAGTTGGCTTCAGCTAGGTAGAGGCGATGGGCTCTTCGATTAAGGGTGGAGATCAGGCTGGGGCACGCAAGGCAGAAGGTCTTGTTGCAGCTAGTGAAGTCAGCTTTGGCAAGGTAGGGGCTTGTTTGGCTTTGGCTTGGGGTTCGGGAAGAAGATGGAGGCCAGAGTGGCCGTGGCTGAAGCTCGGGTCAGAAGAAGGGAGGAGTCGTCAAAGATCTTGCGAGCTATGGGAGAAGTGACGAAATGAAAGCCTCGTTCATTGTTGTATCTAACGACTCAAATGGAAGCGCAACCGAGGCGAGAAACGGGTTTTACGAAAGTTTTGATGCAAGTGACACCGAATGCACATGGATTTCGGTGGGATTTCAGTAGGATTCACATATTTGACGGGTACGAGGTATGTATGCGGGATTTCTGCCTTCTTCACTTTTTTTGTTCTTTATATAAAGGCCAACAAATGCCCCTCAACAAATGTGGTATGCGTCTAGAGTGAATCACGTTTGTTGTATGCTAATTAATCTTGTGGATCTCCAAATACTTGCTCTGGATGTCACACAGAAGTTCTCATTTCACGGATCTCCAAAAGCTTATTTGAATATCATGATAAGGGCTTCATTTTGCAGATCTCCAAAAGCTCATATGGATGTCATGCTAATGATGAGGACATCGCTCAGAGATTCAGACACGTGTACCAGCGACGGAAATGTAGATCGACGGCTATGATTCAACGTCTTTACTTTTGACGCTTTATGTTTTATCTAGTCTTGTTGTATGCATGATGTTTTATTTAGTTTTTTGTTGTTTTCCGATTTTACCCTTATGGGGAGTGTCTTGTCATTGTAGCGTGGAGGACAAGTTTGTACTTTTTCTTTTCATGTTGAGAGGTCTATATACTGGCCATATGTGATGTAATAGGATGATGAATGCTTAATGAAATTTCTTTGTTTCTTCTTCTTCTTGTATGAGAGCTAGAGAGAAGGGAGAGTGAGCTCAAGGTGAGCGAGTGCAATACCCACCAGCTATTGGAAGAGTCCGCGACTCATGGTATTTATTTTGTATCTTTTTTTTTCTTCTCCACCCTTGTTCTTTTCCTCTCCTACCCGCCCATTCCCTTAGCCCCACCGCCAGCCATCTCCCCACCAAAATCGCCCCACGCCTCCACCTCATCAAGCCCACCCGCCACCTAGTTCCCTCACCCCTACCCAACCCGACACCCCTTCATCCCCCACCTACCTTGCCACCGGCCACCCCTTGCTTCCCCCTCGTTATGGTGATCTCAACACCTTAATGACTTTCCATATTTACTCCAACAAGAAAATAGGAAGAATTTAATTCCATTTGAAATTCAAATTTTGAATTTCAAATTCTTTCTTTTTTTTAGAATTCCTAATTACGAAAGTATTAGTCATGACCCTAATCTAAATTCAAAATAGATTGGAATTTTTTTTTTGCTTTCCTAATTCATAAGTCTTGTTTAGAAAGAACCTAACTCCCCCATAATTCGCTTCCCCTCTCTCTCTATGCCGCCGGCCCATTAATTCTCAATCAATGCTTTAATTACATTTAATTTGAAATGAAATTTCAAATAACTTCCCTCCAAATTTAATTAAAATCTGAGATTAATTTCATATTTAGATTAAACCACACCTCCACCCTAACCGAACCTAAGCTCTTTCAAAACCTAGCCTCCTTCCCACCTATCCAAGCTGTCCCCACCCCTCTCCCTCCTATTCAAGCCGCCGGCCTCCCTCTCCGCCACCCTTTTCTATCTTTTGTCTTCCTGCTGGTGTCCTCTCCTCATGCTTATGATGCATGGCCGATCCCGAGGTCGATCATGGCTTCACATACAACGACCGAGGGGAAATCGACATCTTCCTCTCCCCCTTTTACGAGCCTGACTGGGAATACGACGAAACGGTGAAAAGATATGTTAAGCACATCCTCTATTGCTTAGCAAAGATGATCGATCTCCAAAATCCTAAGACGCCTTGGCTTCTCATCGAGAGATCTACCCCTTCTCGGTCCGTGGCTACCTCTCCATCAACAAAGACCTTCAGTACCATCTTTCTAGTGGCAGTTTTTCTCATCGTATGCTTCATCTTCAACTGCTAAAGCCTAAGAGTGATTGAGTGAGTAGGAACTCAAAGTGACCATGTCTTGATGTTACGCTGTGGATTCTTGATTACTTGCTATTAGTACTACTATTTAATTTTTGTTGTTATTGCAATTGTATTGCTAGCCTCTTGTAACGGCTTACTATTATCTAATCTTCCAACGAATGTTCTAAGAATTTAACTCGATTGAAGCATGAGTTACTAATTAGCAATGTGTAAATTACATCTTTATTGTTACAATTCCAAAGCAACTCTTCGCATGTTTGTTTTACATCATATTTGGTATCAGAGCATGGTAGACATGCATGTCATGTACTAGAAAAATATCCTAGGGTTTAGCCAAGCGTTAAACCTAAAATTTTGCATGCATATCATCGCATATATAATTTTATTCACTGTTTTCATTGCTGACCCTGTATTTCCTGCAAGCATTTAGTGGAGTTTAAGTCATTCTAGCACGTGTCTTAGTGCTGCCTTTAAACCCACAACTCTTTTAAGTGTTTAGGATAACTGCACCCTTAGCGTAAGCTGCTGTCCTCACTGTTCCAGCAACATTTAGACACCATTTAGTGAACTTAAAGTCGTGTCTATGTGCTGCCCTCACCCTGTTCCCCTATAATACTTAGACGACTTAAGCCACTGTTTGTTTGCTGTCCCGAGAATTACTGCTGCTGTTGGTACCTTTTTAGTGAGCAAACTGTTGTGATTAGCTGCTGTCCTTGACCTAGGAATCTTCCCTAGTGTCCCCTAACATCCAACCATGGATCCGTAACACATTCAAGCAACTTTAGACCTAATTGTGGGCCAACTTGGAACGGTTATGCAACAAATTAGGAACACCCAAAGTGATTTAGTTGAGTTTAGACGCTAAACGGGTGAGAGACTTGACAACATTGAGGGAATAGGAAACCTAGCAATCTACACCCCTCTAGACCCCACTCTCCTTATGGCGATGACAACCGTACTGAATACGGACCTCCTAGAGATCACTACCGACCCAATCACCGACCAAATCAAGAACCGGTAGGACGCGACACTCCTTGGAGAGATAACGATACCCAACTGCTTAAAAATATTCGAATAGATGCCCCGTCCTTCGATGGTACGTTAGATCCCCAAGTTTTCCATGATTGGCTCAAAGTGATGGATAGTTATTTCAAGTGGTACAATATTTCAGAGAAAATAAAGGTTTGATTTGCGGAAATAAAGTTGACTGGTAGAGCTAACCAGTATTGGACTAACTTAGAACACATGCAAGAAACTCGAGGGGAATACCCTGTGACTGAGTCGAGAATGATGAAGCAAGAATTGAAATAGAAATACCTCCCTCCTTCCTACTACCCTAGACTTTTGGATCATTGGAACATATTAACCCAAGGAAGCAAGCCCGTCAAGGAGTATATCTCGGCCTTTGATAATTTCATGATTCGTTGTAATGGTGATGCTATCAAGAATTTATGTACTTTTTTATTTTGTTTGAAAAATAGTATATTTTGTTTTCTATTTTATTTTATTTTCTTTTTTAGCTATCCAATGATGGGAAAGCATCCAATGATCATGGTAGGTGATGCATATGG